ACCGTTGAAGCAGAGGGAAACGCTAGGGAACAAAAACTTCACACAGGATATCTCCGCGACTTCCCTTCCTTCCCTGCAGATTGCTCGCCACTTCAGTTAACTAACGAAACGTGTTCCATTGTTATTATTACATTCGCAGAGATTGCCGATATATTCAAGTCATCCAGTTTATTATGTTTTTTCCGGTTAATCCGTATTGTTAGAAAATTTTATACTAAAAAGATACATTTTGTTCGGCCAGAATGAGTCAGTATGCATCGGTATATTACTTTATTTAACAAAACTTAATTTAATTAGTAAAAAATATATTATAAAGATTGATAAAAAAGAAAATAGTTTTTTTAGAATAATAATAATTTTCTATATTTAAATCAAATATATATCTACGTGTTTATATTATTTGAATTATATTTTATTTGAACCGCGCCACAAATAAAAAATTAAATGCTATAACATTTTATGAAATGATAAATAATTATGTGTATATTCGTATTTTTATTACAATAGTATCCACGATCTTTTAACTATTTATATGATTACCCGGCATATAACAAATTATACAGTAAGAGAAAAGTCCAAAATATTTTTTTTTTCTTACAAATGTTCAGTCAAGGTCTTTTGACTTTCTTAAATGAAATGATATAATTTTTTAAATAATATGATACCTCTAGTCATTCTGCATATAAAAGTGTTAAGGTAAAATTATAAAAGTATTAGTAGTTTACGAGGTATTTTATACTTTATTTTGACGTAGTCCGATACAAAAGATAAATTGTTACGTAAAATATCTATTCTTTATCTTAAATAATATCTCTTCTTTATACTTTAATGACAATAATGGAATCCGACCAAAACAATCTTCTTTAATTTCGGCGGAAACCGAAAACGAATATTCGGTTATGTGTTAATTTCGTCCGAACTTGAAAAAGCCAACCAAAACTCTGATTTTTTACTACAACTGGGCGCAACCGGGACGGAAACCGAAATCGAATTTCGGCTTGTAAAGAGTAAACTAACCCGGGCAAGTTGAAAGAACTGATAGCTTAAAATTTACGAATGAATGATATGTTAATATAATATATATAGAGGTAAGTCGGTCACTAGTTCATTCATGAATTCTAGCCGATGTTTGTGAAATGGTGTCATCAATAGTAGTACTGTGAAAAGGAAAAGAAAGAAAAGGAAAGAAAGGGAAGGAGAAGAAATAAAGACCGGTCGAGGGTGGATTTTCTCTACGGGGTGCCTACTTCTTAGAATAGCCTTCGTATTTCCTCTGCTCCAGACGGCGGGTCCGGGAGATTCCAGCTTTGATCAGACGGCCTGGCACCAAGCATTTTGCAGGCTATTCAAAATTTTTCAAGTTTTACTACTTTACAGGTACGTCTATGCAGCACTTTCTTAGCTCAATTATCCAGTTATATTAGAACAAGTACAGTAAAAAATTGTTCAAACATTCCGATTTTTGCACATGGTTTCGAAAATTATCGATGGAAAAATGTTACAATTTTTAAATTAAACTAACGTCTGTTTACGTAATTGAGCAATTTGAACTGCACGGAAAAAAAATTAACTGAATTTAGTCGTATAATATGGATAATTAACATTTTTTGCAGCGAGAGCTATAATTTAGCTATAGTAGCAAAATCTTTTGTTCTTGCTGCAAAAAATATTAGTTATCCATATATTACGACTATATTAGCTATAGTGGCTAACCTTTTTTTTCTGTGTGGTTTTTATGTACGAACTTTCAGAAAATCTTATCCTATCCTATCCTATCGACAAATATTTAAAAAAATATATTTCTGAGATATGGTTTGTGAGTATCGACAAAGCTGCAGTATCAGTATCACAAACGCGAATCGGCTATTTCTGAAACTGTCTGAAACTGTCTACCACAAATCGAAAAAAGCTACACTTAACAGGTTACATCATAGAGTATAACGATCTCATATCGAAGAAGTTTCTTTATGTGTTACTTACTGTTAATAAGTATCTGGCGCTTCAATTTAAAGCTCGTCGGCGGGGTGCCCGCCGATCGGCCGAAATCGATCGCTCCTTCGCCGCCGCCGATAGCTATATGCGCGCCAGCGAACACCCATAGACACGTTCGCGGTAACAATGGGTTAACGCGGATCCGGTGCGGCGTGGCGCAAAACGCGGGTAGGTAATGTAATTATGGCCGAGCGCGACGTGCGCGCGCGGAAGGCAGTCACCGCCATAATAGGCGATTGTCCACGGCGAATGGGCGCCACAATGGCGGGTCTCATTGCCGTTAACAACTGACTGTCCAAATACATCGCGGCGGGACAATGAGCGGGCCGCTGTCCGGATCAGGTTCTCTTTATAACGCGAGAACGTCGTATATCAATATCGCCCTTGCAGCGCTTCCTTCCAGTTTTTCGATTCCCCTGCTTCCTTACCTCCCTCCCGCCCTTTTCACGCTGGGTTATCTTCCTTTAAGGATACAACCCCTTAACAAACCTACGGGTTTGTATGAGGATATTACGTTGATCTGCTGCAGGGATCTGTTTCGTCCACGCGCGACAGGTTCTGCCGCCAGCAAGCGCTATAACTGCAGGAGGCCAAATAATTTATATCGGGTTTTGATAAATGCGGCTCTATATATTGAGGGATAACATTTACTCTCCTACCTTCTCTTTCTTTCTCTTTCCCTCTCTGTCTTTCTTACCACTAATAGAAGTTTTCGAGCTTCAATGCGAACTTTAATGAGCGAAAAATATAAAACACAACCAAGACAGGCAATTCCTTCTTTAATACTTGCACTCTATTAATATATTTTTCTTCAATATTTTTAGAAAAGAAAGTTAGTGATATGTATTTTTGCCACAATTTTATTTTCGTATATCGCTCTTCAATTGAGAAGTATTTTCTTTTTTGAATTTACGTGAAGAGTAAAAATTATATAATTTATTGTTTTATTTTCGTTGAATCACACGAAAATTTCAATAAAATCTGTTATTTAATATTTCGAAATTTTGCAATATTCTCGAGATTTTGCGCAATATTGCGCAACATAAAAATAATTTGACGCGTTCATATCACGAGTCCGAGATTCACGAAAATCCGCGGATAGACCCTCGAGAACGAGAGCGATGCTATTATAAGATCAAATTCGCGTAGACGCTTAGGCAAGTTGGCCCTCGGAGTGGCTTCCCGAAAGTATTTATTCGGAGGGTTTTTCGCGGCGAGAGGAGAGCGCCCAATATATAGCGCCATTCGACGTTCAGCCGGGCGTTCAAAGTGGCATTCGGTTCGGAGAATGCGTGTTTCCACTATGCGAGACCGCGGAATCGTTTCCTGAGGGTTCATTGTCGGCGAATTTCCCCGGCGGCCATTGTGCTCCAAGATGTACGTTGCGGAAATGCCGCAGGTAGGTATACGTAAACTGGTGGACGCGAGTGAATTACCGCTTCAAGTCGCTGAGAAAAATTACCTTACTCCGCTTATTTACAATAATGTCAAATTATTTTCTTCTTTTTTTATTAAATAAAACATTAAAAATAGTTGCAATTGGAAACACAGTGCAATGTTTAATCATTTATTTCATCATTAATTTCAATTCCGTTAAACATTTTTTCTTTTGTCCCTTTATTCGTGATTAAGATATATATAGATAATAGATATTTAATACATATGTTTTGTTCTAAAACAATTACATATATCAATTTTCTAATATATTATTTATGTCTAAACTTAAATTATCAGAAATGTTCGGTCACCAACATGTATCTTAAAATATTTCGTTTTAAACAAAAAATTCTGAGATTATCTCATTCTAAAATATCTTAAAGCGTTGTAAACGAGATAGAGAATGAGATAATCCAAAAGAGTTTGAGGGGAGTACTTTCCAAATATCCAAAAACATTTTCATACTGTCGATGATGCGAATTTCGCGGTACACTCCGTATTGTTTTAGCGGGCAGTGAAAGTCATTACGGCGAAGGACCGCTCGTGAACTCACTCGGACTGACGTTTATGAGCGATCTCCGCGAATTTAATGTCTGGACTGGTTCGAAAGGATGCACACGCGGACCGCGGCGGGACACGATCGGACTAGAGACCCTCTAATCAGAGTCTAGACATCAGGGAGCACGCTCTGATTGGTTCGCCATTTTTCTGCAATTCGCGCCGGTTTTATGAAATCTCTATTGCTATGAAATATAAAAACTTATTAATTATTAATAAAAATACATTGAAATTTTAATTTAAAACGTTTTAAAATATTACGAAAGAAAGAGAGAGAGAGAAAAAGAGAGAGTGAATGAGTTGAAAGTAGAAACTTTGATAGTAATTAACAGTAATAAATTAATATTTAAAGAAAATATAGTAAAAAAGTAATAAGGAAATAGGGAATAAATAACACATATATATATATATATATATATATATATATATATATAAACAGCATATAAAAAATATTTATTGTATACATTAATACTTATGTTATACATGTAAAAAGTATTACATTATTTTATTTTAAAGAATGATGCATCATCATCGATTTGCTATCATAATATTTACGCTTAGCTAATACATTTCGTTTGTTTTTAAATTTTAGTCTTAAGGTAGCAAATTTTTTAAATAATTTTTGACGCAAATTATGACAATTATTAAGAATATGATCTGCTGGAACAGAATTAAATTTATCAAGTAAAAATTCATTTAAATTTACTCTCTGCATGATGTTAAAATAGGGACTATAATGTCTGTATATATTTTCTAATTTTAAGAATACCTCAAATGTTGGTTTATTAATGAAGTATAACGTATTTTTCTTATAACATTTAAGTGTCACAAATCTAGAAAATTCTAATTTTAATGATTTTTTTGACCCAACAGATTGTATGCAATTACAACATGTAGTACATGTTTTCTCAACGGACTTTAAACAGTATCCTGCTATGCTATATAAACTGTTCTTTTCTTTACTATTTAATTCTATTACTGTATTGTTATTAAAAGGGGGAATGTCATTTGTAATTGTAGCTGAAGCATTAGAAGTAAAGGAAATATCAGCTGATACATTATCCTTTTTACCACTTTTTGATAAGTATTCTAAAAAGTCAGAAATATATTCGTCTTCATTTTCATCATAATCATAATTTCCTGCTACTATTGGTCTCATATACATTGATATAGCAATTAGTTTCAAATTGTTTTTAAACTGTAAACAATTTGGAATTACATTTTTTTGACGTATAACTGAAAATAGGTTTTCCATACAATCCTGTGTCAGACGTCCAGTTAACACAAATTTAAAATTACGATCTTTTAAAAGATATTCTACAAGATTAATGATTGATGTCGTGGATAATATAATTCCTCTTTGAACAGGTTTAAATGTTTCTTTCTGACCGATTTTTATGTTATTAAAGAGATCAATAACTTCGTATAAAAATTTAATGTTATCATTGTATATTTCTTCATTTTTTAAACCTAATGCTTTATTACAATTTCTTGAAGTCATTAACGAGAACCATCTAGAGATAGTTTTGACAAACCAAGCAGTAGCAAGAAATTCTGGCTTAGAATTTTCATCTGCCAGAAATTCAAATGAACTACTGACATCTGTTGAAAACACGTTTTTTGCTTTATTCACCCGCATTTTACTAAAAGTATTAGTACTTTCAATATCATCTATACGTAATCTTGGCGTTAAAAGTAATTCTGAATCTTTTTGACATTCAAGTAAATCATTAAAATGTGCAATTTCAACCCTGTTCGATGGCAAGTTATATTTTATTACAAATTCTTGGGGCAAGATAAAAAATTTGTTGTTAATTAATGCTTGTTTTAAATTTTTCAACAGATGTGCAATATCCGCAATAAAATATAAAAATCTACTAGAATCAGATGGATGTGGTATATAATTTCTTAGATTAGAATATCGCCCTACGTTTATTCCACAAGCTTTCCATAGTCTCTGATTTCCAGGACCCATGTCGCAGGTTACATAATTAATATGTAAACCAATATTCTCAGCTTTATTTATGATCTGAAAAATGATATCTTTTAAAATTTCTCCATCAAATGAATCACCAGTAAAATAGTAACCTACAACATGCTTCCATCGACGAGCTGTACCTACAATCATAAATGTTAAAGCATGCGTTGCTGTACCTTTCTCATTTGGATATGTTATGTTTCCAAGCATTGTTTTTGTTGATGAGTCGTAAATATTTTTCGGTGTTATGCTCATTTCATCCATAACTAATCCGCATTCTTTGTCATTATCTTGTAAACGAGACGCTTTCAATTTTAAAAAGTCAAACATTTCATTTGAGATGCCACTTTCAAATTTTAAGTTTTCTAACTTTCGTCGTAATGTACGCAAAGATGGTAATGGCATTCCTTGTAGGATAAGCTCTTCATAACCGGTGGTTCCACAAGTAAATTGTAATTTGAGAGCACGTTGAATGGTCTCATTTGACCAATTTTTGATACGCTTTTTGGTAAATAGAGTCCGAATTTGATCATTAGTTAGCATCTCCTTTAACATTTGCCTATACTTATTATTATTAATCATATTTTTTAATTTTTGATTCGTATTTCTCAAAATCTTATTTTGTTTACGTAAATAAATTAAGTTTTGTAGAGTTTTTTTATTAATTTTACAACACTTGTGATTTTCAATTTCTTTCTCTTCAAAAATTTCATTTTCACAAACTGTATTGCTTGTAGATGCATTGAGAGATTCATTTGTAATAATCTGAAATAAATTGAAGTATACATTAAGAAAAATTAAAATATATATGTCATTTTTTATTATTACATTTCATTATCTCACACCTACTTCTTGTTCACTTTGATCTTGATTTTGAACATCATGAATAATATGCTCTCTCTCTACTAGGTTTTCTGTAGGTTTCTGTAAGTTCTCTCTATGTATAGGTTCTTGAAAGGATACTCTTTTTGTTATAAAAAAACCAAAAATGGTTGGTACAGCGTGTGGTTTCAATTTTCTTTTATTATCAATCCTGTTCGGCTCCCACATTTCAGGAGCAAAATGCACCTATAAAAAGAGGTTAATAAAATATAACTATCAAAGAATAAATAACTTTATTTTATAAATAATGTTTAATATTTTAGTTTAATATGCCAATAAAAATAAACAGATTATATTAAAGTACAAAAACATGCTTCTCATTCATAGAAAACAATATTATATTTTAATACAAAATCATGCTTCTCATTCATAGAAAACAAGATTATATTTTAATAAAAAACCATGCTTCTCATTCATAGAAAACAAGAAAGCAATAGAAGAATAGCAAGATTAATGTTAATGTTTAAGTATTTAAATTAAAAGTAATGTAACTTGATTTCATGTACTTTTATATATACATAACCTGTGTTTTATAGCTTTCCTTTTTTATAAAAATATTAATTTAATGGTATATACTATTTCTTTATACATTTTTTAATTAAATGATAAAATATTTAAATAAACTATTATAAATTAAATGAATAAAAAAATAATTTACCTCGCACAAGTAAGAACTATTTGTTGGCGTCCAATTTGGACGATTCATATTTTTAACCCATTGCTCTCGACGATGCTTATCTCTTGGGAATATCTTCATGATATAGCCCTTTGCAGAGCTATTGTTACAAAATTCTGCGGCACATCCACCCATTATTACAATTTACTCTACTTGACCCAGTACACGCAGTATAAGCAGGTTAGGAGGCATTAACGAAGAGAGAGTGAGGTAGCACATATCTCTCTCTCTCAGGATTTTGCAGAAAAATGTCGGACAACCTAACTTAACCTTCTGATGTCCAGACTCTGATTAGAGGGTCTCTAGATCGGACTAGTTCGAGCGGCATGAATGATCGCGGTCGTCCCATGCTCGTGCCTAGCCGCGCCATAGCTCTTTACAACGCAGAAATGATTTGTGAACCCGGACAGATGGTTGTCCGTTGGCGAAAAACTCTCGTTTCGCCTCGCTCCTATATGACTCCGCGCGCGCCGCGTGCCTGGCAATGCCGCGCGCATTAATTGAAACACATGCACGTGCGACCGGATGTGGGAACTCGATTTTCTCGTTTCCTGCACGCCTCTTCTCCTTGGAACTTTTACCCATTTTTGAATATCCGGCATATTATATCATGTTATTATATAATTATTTAAAACTTTGAATGTTTGGAATTTTAGAATTAACTTCGAAAACGCAGCTTAGGAATTAAAAAAGTTAGATCTTGTAGATAGTAGAAATTATAAATATGTATTGAATTATAGAAAATCTCTGTTAGATTTTATGATAGTGTCGGCGATGTTTTCAATTTGTATAATAGTAAACGTTTCAAAAGTTATTAGGTCAGTTGTAAATTGTTCTCTCTCTCTCTCTCTCTCTCTCTCTCTCTCTCTCTCTCTCTCTCCTCTCTTTCTCCTTCCTCCAGTTACGAGACTTTTCTTCCTTTTTTGTAATATCAGAAATTTGAAAGAATTAAAGTCGCGTCGCATCGCGACTTGAAAGCGTCGCGTTACAGGCGTTCTCTTTTACAAGCGGACCTCGCGTCCGGAAGCTAGTTCGAAACTCCGTATTGGCGCTCCGCTTTTAATCAACTTCCACCCTGAACGTCGATGAACAACGGAACAACCGAAGAGGGGGGGGGGGTAAAAAACGACGAGTCTTATCGAGAATCGACGCGATCGAACCGAGGATAATTCACGCGGGCGCACAAAACCCGGGCGATATTCGAGCGTGGCATAGGTGAGCGTAATTATACCCTTTGAAATCGCGCGTACAATGGGGCAGGGGCGGTCATTGAAAGTCGAGTACCTGTGCTTCTTGTGCACCTCTTGCGCACGGCCGTTGTTCATAAGGTATTTGCTGCGACGAAGAGGAGGCAAGAGAGAGGAGTACGAAAAGTGTGAGGAGTATTCTATTTAACACGTTATTAATTGATGCGTGATATCGCATATTGAGATATCGAATCTTCTATTCGAGATATCGAAAATTAAGATAAAACCTTTTCTTAGGGATCTTCTCTTGAGTTCTATCACTTGTAGTGACTTGAGAAAGATTTCAGAACAAATATCTATATATAATCCATTATTTAAACAAAATTTTTTTTAATATCCTCAAATATATATTTTCCTTTATTTGCAATATTCTTCTTGAAAAGGAATACGCACGAGTCTTATGGGAAAAAACAGCCAATTTGTTTGAATTTGTGATATGTTCATGCTCTTTGTGATTCTCATGTCCTTTTAAAGCTTATCGCATTGTAGTGTTTAGGTTAAAGATAATCAGCGAGAAAGAAGAAAAGAATTTAAGGAGCAGATTCTGCTTTTTTTCTTGCAGAAGCCAATCGCCGCGATTAGCGCACAAAGCGCGCTCTTAGGTCACTTGAAACTTCCGTTAGCCAGTGAAGAAGAAAGAAGCAAAATAGACAGATCAGTATCGATGGTGGGCATTGTTCCTCTCCGCTCCCTTTACGCTCTCGAGTCGTCAAGTCAAAGTGGACCAACGACGGCCATTGCGCCGGACGAGTATATGCTCGCCATTGTAACGCGCGAATAGCGCCATTGTGGCATCATTTAAATGCGCGAGGCCGCCGAATACGTTAATGACTTTTATATACACACAACGCGACTGGTCGGCCCTGTGAAGTCGAGCGTGTTGTGTGTTATTTTATTATCGCCCCGTGAGAGAGAGCTATACATAGGGGAGGGAAATCGAGACGCGGTCCGGAGTGCCCGGCCAACAACAACGGGAACAGAAATCGAGAATCGCTTTGTGAGCTCTCTCGAGCATTGCGAGAGTAGCCGAGGTCCTTCTACGTTGCCGAGCACTTCGTATTGTTTCGATCTTAATAACATTCTTAACAATACGCTCTGAGCCTTTCATCTCGATGAAGTAAGTAAGCGGGAAGATGTATGCTCTACAACAATTGACTTTTCACGAACATATATAAAAATTAAAAAGTATACGTATAGTTGAGTAAGTACATTTGCGACCACTGTTTGAAATATTACAAAATTTCAGAGAAAATACAGATATATGCTATAGATTTTTAATTTATTTAATTTTAATTTGTTTAATATAGTTAAGATCTTTTTAAATGTTTGGAAGAACAAACACAATATCTCCTCGTAAGGCTGAGAGGTTTTACAAACTTTTCATTTTAAGTATCCAAATATCGAAATTAATTTATGGATCCGACTGTTGGAGCCCGCGAAGTTCTATAACGAACTGGCAATTACCAGTACGCGCTCTTCACACCCGCAGTCGTGGCGGACCAAAGAGGCGGATATATGAAGGTATAAGAGGATTGCTCGTAAATAACGAGGTGTTTATATGAAATTGCGTTTCTTGGAAGTCTTCTCCCTTTCTCTTTCGAGTTTCTCCCGAAATTTACGAGCACCTCGGACGCACCGCGGTTTCGGCCGCGCGCGCGGGGACCAAGAGCGACCAAGTGGACGCGGCGACGAGGACGACTGTCCGTCATATTAGCATTCCTCGAAGAGAGCAACAACGACTATTCCTCCCCGGTCGGTCTTACATTATATATCCACCATTAACCGGACGACCGGCACAAAGCTATTGTCGGCTCCGACGAATGGACTTGAGTCAACTGGGAACGACACGTGATTCATGGTACTACTACAAGCGTGCGCGCGCGCGACTGCATTAGAGGGACTCTTTAAAGAGGAGGCTTGTGCGTCTCCAAGTGCACCGTGCGATTGCACGTGCGTGCACCGCAAAGTGCGTGTGTCGCGACAGAAATGTGCTGGACCACATTTCGTTTCGAGCTGCTCTAAAATTCGGTGGCTCGGATATATTCCAAGTCACACTGCAATCGCAGCTCAAACTTTCAAAAATTTTTAATTTTACATTTTTCCAATTAAAATTCAAAAAAAATTTAAAAATAAAAAATTCCAGTTATAAAAGCATGCGGAATTTCAAGAGTCCAAGTTTTCGAATATATATAGATTACACTTATATACAATTAGTGCTTCAGCGCATCTCTCAGATCTCGTACAGCTCTCAGATCGATTATCATGACGGATCTGATTGCCACTGCACGGCCATGAATCATGAAATTATCGGGGCTCGTTGCGTGGCGCGCGCGATAAAATGTAAATCAAACGATCTGCATCCCGGCCGCGCCTAAGTCGCGGAGACTAACAATAAGATTATCTGCAAAGCTACATATCGGACCGGCGCGGTCCGAGAGTAATAGATCCATCCAGTTTCATCCCGCACATCTTGTGTTGGCTGACCACACTGTTCGACGTCATCATTGGTGGTCCTAAATCTTATTTTTGTGACTTTGCTTTTGACGACCTTATTAAAATTTCTATTATAACTACTTGTATATGGATTAGGATAGATTTGTCAAATTTTTAGAAAAAGTTATTTTTCTTTCGTATTCTTGAGGAATGGAAGGATTTCTTTTCCTTTTTATATTGTAAAAAATTCTTAGAACGAAATAAAAGATTATAATCCCTCTATTGTCTACTAAGAATATAAAAGATTTCTACGGATTGCATGTCATCAATTTTAATTTTTGAAAGAATAGCATTTCCCAAAACGGCGTTTTTTATGTTTTTATAGTTGAATATTTCATCA